TCTCCTGCCTCCGCCTCCCAAGTAGCTGGGACCACAGGCGCCCGCCACAATGCCTGGCTATTTTTTGGTTGCAGCCATCATTGTTGTTTGGCAGGCCCAGGCTGGGGATTCAAACCCACCACCTTAGGTGTATGTGGCTGGCGCCTTAGCCACTTGAACCACAGGCGCCGAGCCCCACCTGGGATTTGTTAATGTGAGAGGTATGTTTTTGTGAAATAGCATTTGTCCCCATTTCATTTATTGGCTAGTCCATCCTTTCCCCACCAATATAAAATGCTGCTAATTGGCTGGGTTCAGTGGCTTACACCTGTAACCTAACATTCTGGGAGGCCAAAGCAGGTGGATAGCTTGAGCTCAGCAGTTCGAGACCAGCTTGAGCTAGAGCAAGACCATGTCTCTAAAAAAAAAATAGCCAGGTGTTGTAAACACCTATATCCCAGCTAGTTGGGAGCTGAGACAAAAGGACCTCTTAAGCCTAAGAGTTTGAGTTTGCTATAAGTTATGATACCCCGGCACTCTGACAAAGTGAGACTCTGTCTCAAACAACAAAAGAAATTCTGCCTTTAGCATGTACTGAATGTCTACATACACATGACTCTTTCTGAAAACACTTTTGTTTTCAATTATTGCCGTACTCTGTTTAAGTTACTTGAGACCTTTATAATGCATTTTGAAATATAACAGCATGAGGGATTTTTTAAATAATTGTGTAGATTTTTTATGTACCTCCATTTTTTAATAAAACATTTTAAATCTACTTATCACATTTTAGGAGATCCCTGTTAAATATGTAGATTAATCAAAATCCCTTGGCAATTTACCTAATGAATCTCTTCATTTAGCTTTTTTTAGTGTTGTTTGGCAAAGTTGTTTAGTGTTTTTAATTAGTTCTATAACTAAAAAAGAAATAAAACCACAGGGAATGGATGATTAAACCTAAATTACAATTCTTAGCTTAATATCTTTAACCAGAAGGCAAATGATTTCCTTTCTTGGAAAGGAAGCCTAGCTTTCTAATTTTGTTTTACTTTTGAAAGAAGGATGTAAGTGTGGAAAAAAATATTCCCACATCCAGAGCCTTAATTGCCAGTTTTATTCCATTTGCTCAGTAAATTGTTGAGTTTCTGCCATGTACTAGGGACTCTTCTAGGTACTAGGAATATAGCAATAAAAAAACAGACTAAAGTCTATTTCTATATGACTTCCACTAAAGTGAGAGACCTATGTGACTTCCACTAAAGTGAGAGACCTATGTACACATCTAGTTTAGAAACATAGAATCAACCTGTCAAAGGCATTTATCTAAGAATGCCAATTCTATAATTTTGGCCATTAAAAATGAAATCTTTTGAAGTATAGTACTATAATAAAGGCTTACATTTGATTTGACCTAATCTTCAAAAAGTGAGACCTTTAAAAATAAAGACCTTTTATTGTGATAAATTATCTTGGGATTGCTTGTGATCCTTAAAGTCCTCAAGCATGTATCTTTCGTATTCACACTATGTGTTTGGTTATTTGTATTAAAGTCATCATAAAAAGTATTCAGAAAACTACAAGATCTAATGTTAACACACTCCCAAAGCCTGGAATGCAGTTCATGCATCTTTCTTTGTCTTTTGATCCCATTCAAGTTTTAGATGTAATTAATTATCATAGATAAAAATATAGACTCTGAGGGGAGACATTAAACTGTAGGTAATCAAATGAACATTTGTTTCAGAAATCACATGTGTACCTATAATAACACCAATAAAATGCTTTAGTAAAGTAGCAGCCAGGGCAGCACCTGTAGCTCAGGGTAGGACACTGGCCTCATACACCCAGGCTGGCAGGTTTGAACCTGGCCTGGGCCAGCTAAACAATGACAACTGCAACAAAAAAATAGCCAGGCATTGTGGCAGGCACCTGTAATCCCAGCTACTTGGAAGGCTGAGGCAAAAGAATTGCTTGAGCCCAAGAGTTTGAGGTTGCTGTGAGCTGTGATGCTAAGGCACTCTACTGAGGGTGAGATAATGAGACTCCCTCAAATAATAAAGTAGCAGCCAAATCATCAGTCTTATTTACCATATGTAAAGTTTTTCAGATAAGCACCAAGATATAGAACAAATAATTTACTTAAAACAGTTGTGTTTTACAGGAAGGTAAGTTTTCAATTCCCAAAAGTTAACTAAAATAGGAAATTATACATGAAATTTAATTGCATAGCCATGCATTTTTTACTAATTCTCTTTAGATTTAATTTCTTTTTTCTTTAAAATAATGCATCCTTCTTCCACTGAGGGCCAAAAAGTAGTAGTCAGGAGAAGCCCATACCAGAATAGCAGTTTTAGGAGAGGGCCAAGGATGACTATATTGCATGTCAGTGCAAATCCTGGTAAAGATTTTGAACTGCTTAGACCTTCCTGATGTAGGGGGGAATTTTTTCACTTTTCCCTTAATGGAGCCCTTTTTCTACCTCTCATCTTTTACCTCAACCTGCCTTTTTGGCTACAGGGAAGACTTCTGGTGCAATGCATCCCTACCCTAGTTGGATTGGAGAAACAGAAAGAGAAGCACCTTGATCTTTTATTGTGCAGGCTTATGTCACTTTCACGTTCATAAGATGGCAGTCACTGACCTCTCACCAACATGGGCTTTGCCTGCACAGGCCTCTGCTTATTTCTATATGAGAAATACAGAAAAGGAAAAGATGACTGATAGATTTCCAACAATCTGGTTACAAGAACCAGTGACCTTCAGAGATGTGGCTGTGGACTTCACCCAGGAAGAGTGGGTGATGTTGGACTCTGCTCAAAGAAGTCTGTACCAAGATGTGATGTTGGAAAACTACAGAAATCTCACCTCAGTGGAGTATCAATTATGCAAGCTTACTGTGATGTCCTCATTGGATCAAGAAGACTTAAGAACTATGAAAAAGAAAATCGCCCAAGGCATCTTTCCAGACCAAAAGATTCTACTTACAACCAAAGAATTAATTCCTATGCAGAATATTTTGAGTAGGAAACCATCCAATGCAGTGAAAATGATAAAATTCACAATGGATAATTTGTTCTCCACATTAAGAGAAGACAAGCAGTGGAATAAGATCAGAACACAGCTCAAGATTCCAGAGGGAGGTTTGAAGCAAGTGACATACACCCAGAAAAACACAATGTCTCAAGAAAGATTGTATGACTACCACAAATTAGAGGAAAACTCTAAATTGAGGTCAAAACTTATTTTTTCACAGAGAGTTTCCACCAATAAACATTGCCAAAAATGTTACTCAGAGATCCAAAGTTTGAAACATAATTTAAACGATTTTGAGAAAAACTCTGTAAGTGAGAAGCTCTGTGAAAATCATGAATATGACCAAACTCTGTGGCATCTTGAGAGAACTCAGCAGGCACAGAAAAAATGCCTGTGCTCCAAAGATGATACATGCTTCAAGCAAAATATGTTTCCTATACACAACAGTTTTCATGTGGCAGAGAATTCCTATGAATGTAGTAAGAACAACAAAACATTTTGTCATCATTTATCCCTTAAGCAACATGAGCCAGCTCATACTGGAGAGAAACATTATGAATATAACCAATGTGGAAAAGCCTTCAAAAGGATTTCTAATCTTATTGTACATAGGAAAAGTCATGTGGATGAGAAACAATATGAATGTAAAGAATGTGGGAAAGTGTTCACTGATTCTTCGACCTTAAGGAGACATGTAAGAACTCACACTGGAGAGAAACCCTATGAATGTAATCAGTGTGGAAAAGCGTTCAGTCAGAAAACATCCCTTAAGGCTCATGTGAGAACTCATACTGGAGAGAAACCTTATGAATGCGGTCAGTGTGGAAAATCCTTTGGCACAAGCTCTTACCTTATAGTGCACAAGAGAATACACACTGGAGAAAGACTCTATGAATGTAGTGACTGTGGGAAAGCCTTCAACACCAGCTCTCACCTTAAGGTTCACAAAAAAATACACACTGGAGAGAATCTTTATGAATGCAGTGACTGTGGGAAAGTTTTTAGTGGTCTCTCATCCCTTAGAATGCATGTCAGAACTCATACTGGAGAAAAACCCTATGAATGTGAAGAATGTAGAAAAACCTTCAGTGTTTCCTCTTCCCTAAGGAGACATGTGAGAATTCACACTGGAGAAAAACCCTATAAATGTATTCAATGTGGAAAAGCTTTCAGTCAGAATTCTTCACTTATTATACACGAGAGAATTCATACTAGGAAAGAAACCCTGTAAGGTTATCAATGTGGAATTGACTTTTTCATTGTCTTAAGGTGGACTCCAAGCTCATTATTTCAGTCTTTGCTCTCTAAGCATTTAAGGCTAAAAATGGCCCTCAAAATAGCTCTTTAGCTATATGAGACACTTTGTTGTACATTTGCTATAGTTCTAAATATTGTCTAATTGTGGCTTTTTTGCTCCATGGCTATATAGAATTAGGTATTTTTAATATGTGACATATGAAGAATTTGTTACTTTTTCACTATTGGTTTGTAAGCTAATTGCATTGTATTCAGAGCATCTGGACCATGTATTACTACTTTGTTGGTGTTGTCTTGAGTTACTTTCTGGCTCAGTGAGGCAGATATTGCTAGGAGCCAAGCATACATTGAGCTCACCCTTCCTTATTAGTGAAAGCTATTTTAGCTCAGAATGCCAATGTGTCTAGTTATACAACTCTTTTCAGCCTCCCTATAGGCAAGGGTAGCCATGTCCCTTATTTCCCACTGATCAAAAATAAACTATTACCACTAGGAACAGAATTTTCTGTTTTGTTCTTTTTTACCTTTTACTCCTTGCATTTCCACCTTCCTTGTTCTTCTCCCTTTGAATTTACCATTCTTAGAGCTTAAGAAGACATTTTTCTGACCATGAGAATGACAACCATAGCCTAAGGATGATGTAGAAGAGAGATGTCATTCCCCAAAGACACCTTTAAATAGTTGTGCCAGACCTGTGCTTCTTACATCTGGACATCCTTCTGTGAGAAGAAAAAAGACTACTGAGGCAAATGGAGTTAAATGTTTTATGTTGCATGCACACATTCGAAAAGGAACATAGAAACTGCATTCTCTCAGTTGCTACAGACTGTTCTACTCATCTCATCTCTCCCACATAAAGTGCTTTTGCATAGCTAAGATATTCCTCCCACCCCATTTCTTGTTTTTTCTTTCTCTTTTTCTTGGTTTGTTGCCTTTCTTCTTTCTTTATCCCTCTTCCCTCCCTCCCCTTAATTTGATTCAACGGTACATTTAATTTTCCTTTATCTATGCATATATGTATATATATACTCTTTTTTCTTTTCTTTCTCTTTCCACCCTTTCTTTGCTGAGGGTGGATGTGACACAGCAGTGGTCTGGCAGGTTGACTGCAGCAGTAGCCTAGCTCAAAGAGACCAGGATAACTCTACTCTTGCCCCCAGGAAGAAAGTAGAAGAAAAATCACACTGCAGAACATTTCTTCTTTTCTCCTTCTTCTTCTTTTTTTTTTCTTCCTTATTCAATTTTTCCTTCTTGGTTTTTGTGTTTTCTCATTTTCTTCTCTTCCTATTTTCCTTTCTGTGGACAGACAAGTGAGGAGTGCCTAAATTTGAGGAACCCACTCAGCTTAGCTCCTCATAACCCTTGAGCTGTAGGCATGATTTTAGCACCATGCTAAACAACATCTCTTCTATCACTCTTATCCTCCCTTCCTGTCCTCCATCTTGCCTGTTCTTCAATTTTCTTCTATTAGCTCCCCATCTCCCCTTTTTTGCCTGTCTTTCTCTTTTCTTTCTTTTGCTTTTCTCTTACTCTTCCCCCCTTTTATTTTTCTTTTCTTTTCTTTTTCTCCTTTCCTCTTGCTATAACCCTCTTTGCTTGCTATAACCATTCTCTGCCTTTTGACCTCATACCAAGAGGCCTCTTCCTCACTTAAACTCTGAGACAAGGTAACTTAAAGCAAAGGAGGAAGTGAGAAGGAAAAAGGTGCACAAGGAAGTGAACAAGAAGAAACCACACATGAGGAGGAACCAAAAGAATTCAGGCACCATGAATAACCAAATTAGAGCAACTCCTCCAAGGGACCATGAGGCAATTTTTGAAGAGGACTCTTCCCATAATTAATGGATTTGACAGAAAGGGAATGTAAAATATGGATGATTAAGACAATAAAGGGATTAGAAGAGAAAATGGAAAGACAGAACCAAAAGACAAGAGATATGTAGAACATAGAAAAGATATGGATGAGCTTAAAGAAATGAAGGAGATAATCAGGGAATGTAAAGCTGCAGTAAAAAGTATCAAAACTAGACTGGACCATGGAGAAGAAAGAACTTCAGAGTTAGAGGATAAAGTCTTTGAGTTAACACAGGTAGTAACAGAATCAGAAAAGAAAAGAGAGAAAGCAGAGCAGGTGGTTAGAGAACTATGAGACTCCATGAAGCGTTCAAACATATGGATAATAGGAATCCCTGAGGAGGATGAAGATTATCCCAAAGGTATGAAAGCCCTACTGAAGACTATCATAAATGACAACTTCCCAAGTGTTACTAAACATCCTGACACACTCCTTTCAGATGGATATTGAACCCTGGGTCATTGCAACTCTTAACAGAACCTCTCCAAGACACATTGTAATAAACCTGTCCAAAGTCAAGATGAAGGAGAAAATCCTTCAAGCAGCTAGGAATAAGCACCAATTGACCTACAAGGGCAGAACGATTAGGATGGCAGCAGACTTTTCAACTGAAACCTTCCAAGCTAGGAGAGAATGGCCATCCACCTTCAAAATTCTTAAACAAAATCATTTTCAGCCTAGAATCCTGTGTCTTGCCAAACTTAGCTTCAAAATTGATGGAGAAATTGAATTTTTTGCAGATATATAAGCACTTGTTTGTCACAACAAGACCACCTCTACAGGAAATACTTAGATGTATTCTTAATACTTAATACCACAATGGACCACCATCAAAGTTAACATCTAGAAGCCAAAGGCCAGAATTTAGCTTTCACAATGGCACAAAGGATTAAACTACACAACAAACTACCTCACAATAAGATGAATAGAATTCTACCACAACTATTGATACTTTCTATAAATGTCAATGGATTGAATTCCCCACTAAAGAGGCACAGGCTGAATGACTGGATGAAAAAACACAAGCCATCCATATGATGTCTCCAAGAGACATACCTAGCCCTGAAGGACAAATCAAGACTCAGGGTTAAGGGATGGAAAACAGTCTATCAAGCAAATGGAAATCAGAAGAAAGAAGGGGTTGCAATCTTATTCTCAGATACAAGCAGATTCAAAGCAACTTTAGTTAAGAAGGACTAAAGACTGACACTTCATACTGGTCAAAGGAACAATACAACAAGACGTCTCAATACTAAACATTTATGCACCTAACTGAAATGCTTCCAGATTTATGAAACAGACCTTGAGAGGGTCTGGTATATGACAATATGACATCCCATAGTCAGGAACTTCAACACCCCTCTGACAGAACTGGACAGATCCTCTAAACTGAAACTAACAAGGATACAAAGGACTTAATGTGACCCTAGATCAGTGGTACTCAACCTGTGGGTTGAGACCCCTTTGGGGGTCAAATGACCATTTCACGGGGGTCACCTAAGACCATCCTACATATCAGATATTTACATTATGATTCATAACAGTAACAAAATTACAGTTATGAAGTAGCAACGAAAATAGTTTCATGGGTGGGGGTCATCACAACATAAGGAACTGTATTAAAGGGTTGCAGCATTAGAAAGGTTGAGAACCACTGCCCTAGATCAAATGGGATTAATTGACATATACATAACACACCATTCCAAAGTAAAAGAATATACTTTTTTCTCATCAGCTTATGGCACATACTCCAAAATAGATCACATCCTAGGATACACATCAAACCTCAGCACAATTATAGGAATAGAAATTATACCAGCTCGGCACCTGTGGCTCAAGCGGCTAGGCACCAGCCACATACACCTAAGGTGGTGGGTTCGAATCCAGCCCAGACCCGCCAAACAACAATGAAGGCTGCAACCAAAAAAATAGCCAGGCATTGTGGCAGGCGCCTGTGGTCCCAGCTACTAGGGAGGCTGAGGCAGGAGACTCACTTGAGCCCAGGAGTTGGAGATTGCTGTGAGCTGTGATGCCACAGC